AAACATTTGCAGACATTCTGCATTCCACGAAAATGAGTGACATCTATCGAATACGCACACTTGTTCGTCATTGATTTGCTCAAGCCAGCACAAGTTTGATACTGTCTACGCAGCTAATGCCAAATTAGCAAGGTAGAATCAAAGCGCTGACTATGATTGGCGGGGAAACAAATCCTAAAGCTGCGATACTGAGCAAGTTTAATTGATTCAAATGGTTGTTAGTTAATCCATAGCCTGATCTTCCAGCACAGCAGATTAAACCGGGGTCTGAGGCCTAGTAGGTAAGAGGCAAAACAGCAGTAACTTGATAAAGGAAACTACTCACAAGGTTGCTGAAAACTCTTCGGCAGCCCACGACCGGTTTTACCCTCCTTGGGGCTTATCAGTAGGTCAAACTTATGTTCTACCTGAACCCAAATTGGACTATTTTCGAGAAATTCACTCATTTGCAAATCAAATTGGTTTTCAAGAGAGACTCAGCTGAATCTCTCGTTTATGATATTCTTCAACTGCTAGTGCTGCACAAAGACGGCCACATGTTTCAGTCGGTACGATATTCCAGATATCACAGTATATTTTCATAAAGGAAACTACTCACAAGGTTGCTGAGATCTCTTCAGTTGAAGAATTTCCTAAACATGAGATTCGGTTGAGTTTCCCATGAAAACCAAATTGTAGCAAGGCATCTGATGATTAGGGACGCGCTTTCTGCATGTAAGTTACTCACTGAAAATATTTAGTAAGAAGCGCGCTGAATGAAACCCATTCGCCTACCAAAACAGAATCGTTCTATTTCCGTCACAGTAATAATGTCATTTTTATAACTTTGACGTCATACGTCAAACCATGCGGCACAAAATTCTGAGTGATTCCCCTGTGTGACAACCCCTGCAAGATATTGATTTTTGGCGATATTCAAAAGCCTCCAGAGAAACGGATCTTTCCATTGAGGACGCAAGAAGGGTCGGCAAGCACAATTGTTAACAGATTTATCAGTTTACTTTGTAAGTTTCATTGTTGGCCACTCACCATGCCATCAATAGGTTAAACTAAATAGACACGGTCCAAATGATGCCTTGGTACTAATTCGACTGTCAGAATTTAACAAACGCAAAATACTTGTGTTTGTGGCCGACTGATTCATCTGGAATTGGCTTTTTCAGACATGGACATACAGCTTTAGAATATGTAAAGTCACCCAGGGGTCACCACGAAGTTGTCGGCAGCTAGGGTGATAGAGTGCTTTCGTCTAAAGGCAACCGACACAACCTGATGACCTTGGAGACAGTCTTGGAACAAAGACAAGCTCACTGGTTGATAAATCCAGTTCTAATGCTCTGAATCATATTTTCTGCCTTGTAACCAGTAAAATACGGGAAGACAAAATCACGTTTCAGCATTTTTCCACAGCAAGGTTTTTGCCGCATATCTTGGAAAGTCCCATCTCATGTCCTACTCACATTACATTATCACGAAGCCCTCACAACGTTTTACTGAAAATGCATTCAAAACTGGCAGTCTAGATTTTAGCCCGATCAAACCGCAAGTTTATCGATCAGGAATTGAACCAATCAAAAACACGGCAGTGCCAAATTTCGTCATCTAGACTTGTCTAGGCACAATCGATCTCAGATGAATGACATGTCACTACCACTAGTTCGTGGAATTTGAAGTGGACCTTTAAGATATGCTTTTCGTTGACGAGCAGCTAATGTCGTTAAAAAGAGTCACTGGGCACCTAAGCAAAAGATGAGTATCGGTCACCATAAAATCTGTCCAGATTAGATGGGTTAAATCACCACTGCTTGTTTCAATGGCTAACTACCAACGCACATGTTTCTGGTGAAACCACCGGGGGCACTGATGGAAAGAAAAGCGATCTTTTCCATGGGGTTTACTAAGCATTATATGCCAACCGCGTATTCTCATTCAGGGCTTGAAATCCTGCCTCGCTTTTCACTTAGTTTGAGGAGACTCATTGGTCCAAGCAGATGTTACGACTAAATGGCCAAGGTTGACCTTTTACTTCGTCTGTTTAGTAGATTTCATAATGCAAGAGCCATCTTGGCTTCAGTGACTCAGTTCTGTATAAAAAAACTGAAACCTATTTAACAGTCACTCCCAATGTACAACCATGAAGCAAAATGAAATTGCCCCTCATTCAGGATATGAGAAGTATTCTCTAAACACTCTGGGATGTTTACATACTTGTAATTCGTCCCTGGCTTATGCTGAGCTCGTTTAGATTGACTTTCTAATGTGCCTTAATTGATTCTATGGGCTCTGATCTGGATTCACTGAAGTTGCCGCACATAACTACCCACTAGAACTGAGCGGTATACATATACTACTGGAACATTTAGCCAGTCGCAGTCTTTTACATATTATGCTACTGATGAAGCATGCGAGTAGTATGTGGTTTTCTCATAAATCCCCTAAGCATCTATTGAAAAGCGAGATTTATTAGGGAATTTGTGGAATCGCTCTGTAGCATTCATTTACGCTTGATCGATAGTCAATGAGTATCCAGGAGAGTTCAGGAAGACGCGTTCGAGAAGAAGATAGATACTCAGTTTTTATAACCAAGGTGTACATGTGAGTTTTGATTCCCTGTCCAATGTAGTCTGTAACTGTTCAGTTGATGATTTCCAATAAACGACTCCTCAGTAAACGCCTTCTTCCTTTCACTGCAAGTGCCCTTTGCTGCTTTCGTCATCACAGCGCGCAATTTATTGTTATGGGAACATTAAGTTTAAATAACAGGATCAGGTTGGTGGTGTTGTTGATTGTGTCAAGCTGAAAGCTGCTTGACCAAGTCAGACCGCGCGGTTAAAAATAGGCAGCCTCAAAGTCGACACATGGTCTTAATGACAAGAAACGAGGTATTTCTGTGCCTGCAACTACAGGAATTATGGTAATATCCACAAAGTGGTCCAGTTTCTCGAAAAACTAGCAGCCCGTTATGGTTGACTCGGATTGCTCTGAAAGAAATGATCTCGTCTTCGAGAAATACACCGATTTGCAAATCAATTTGGTTTTCGCGAGAGACCCAGCTGTGTCTCTCGTTTATGTTATTCTAAAACTGAATGTGCTGCACACAGGCCGCCTCATGTTTCAGTTGGCACAACATTCGAGATGTCGCAGTATATTTTCATAAAGGAAACTATTCACAAGGTCCAAGAGTTTTCAGCAACCTTGTGAGTAATTTCCTTTAGGAAATGATATTTCACCCAAGGATTGCTTAAACATTGATCAGCATCAAACTGAATACAACAAAACACATTTTGGCTACTTGAACAAACATTTTTAAGCAGTTTTAGTGATCTCGTCCTCATTTTTCGCCAAATATATAATGAAGGCTATCTACACACGTCGCGTTTCTACCAATTCTTTTCTCTTAAATATTCAGTTAGTAAAATGAACCTGGAAGACATTTTTTTTGTAAAAGAATTCAAAAAATCACTATATCTATTTCCACTCGTGGATGCAAATGGACGGATTTGCTGACGCCAACGGCCTCCGCAGAATTAATTAGTGAAACAAAAAGCAGCACTACAAAGACAGTGTTGTATTAAAAAATTTGTAACGAGCTGGAGTAATCAAGAGCAAAGGATACAGTTTTTTTAGTATTCTCATTGTGCTTCCAAATCTGATGGTAGCGATAATCAGGACAAATATCCCACTGAAGGAGGCCTTTCATGTTTACGTATGTGAGCGTAGGTGAGATGAATGAAACACATAAATAGCTGTGAAGTGCATAGCAGTAAGTGAACACGCTCACTTGAGTTTTCACGGCCTTCCCGAACATACATGACCAAGTTAATCCGCGACCAATTGTGCCATTTTCTTCATCCATACAGGCCACTCATTCAGTCCAACTGACAAAGACTGGACGGAGGCCAACCGAAAATACGGCTTTTTTAATGGTGTTTTGTGGCTAAAATGCCGTGCAAACATAAAAACACCATTTGCTAGGCTTTCGCCACCCGGTTACCCAGATACTTGGCTGTTCAGCTCACAGTCGCTCACTGGATCACGAGACTTGTCTTTTTTTCATGTTCACAAACCACGTCACACTAAGATGACTCATCGGACATCGATTGTCTGTACCGTCTGGTGAGCGTAGTAACTACTCATGTGCTGACGCGCCCACGTACGCGCACTGGACCTACTTATAGGGGAACCGAACACTGTCAGCACACACAGGCTCGCGCGCGCGCAGGGAGCAAGGTGTCAGCCAAACACTCCAAGTCCACGGACAGTTATGGAATACGTGTAGCAGCCAAACTGCGGAGAAAACACGTTCCCACTGTCCGGACTTTCACCAAGTGACTCTCACATACCATAGGTTCCCTTTTTGACTTGCTCCATTGTATTTATTTTTATAGGTGTCGCAACCCACCACTGTCACCCATGCAATAAACTTTTATTAGTGCATACACCTTCTGATTTGTATTATGGCTATCACCACCTGTGTAAGCCCCAGTATTACATCCAGACAACCCGTAATTCGCCGGACCTGGTTGAGTTTCAGTCATTTTTAGTACACGACCGTTTTTTCTTTCGACGGAGCCGTTGTTGAGAGCAATACATTTTGTTGTAATGTCCTTTTTAAGCATCCCACTAAGGTCCTGCCAACTATCATATCAACCCTTTCCACATGTGTGATTGATTTTAGTGGCAACTGGCGATGGTACAGATCAATATTTGAAGATTTCAAAACTAGTCACCATCTATGAGCTCCGCGGCTCACACGAACTACGCGAGGCGGATACCACAGCACCGATACGATAAATTATCCCGATGTTTTTAGTGAAACCAAGGAACACGGTTGCTCTAAGCTGAGAACGTTACGTCACTTCACTCGTATTATGTTTACATCACTCCAACTTCAATTAAACGTGGCTCACCATCACACGTCACCAGGTGGGATGCGACACATGACAGACCGTAGTGTATAAAGAGATAAGGCATATAAGAGATAAGGTATATAATGTGATTACGGGGTTGCTAAAATTAGTGACATATACCTAAAATGCGAAATACACGACATTTCCTCGAAGTTGTCAATATGGTCCACAATCGGTTAATTTGGAACTTCTGAGGCCCTGAAACGAGAAATGAGATTTTTCAGGTAAGTCGAGTGTATTAATGCACTGAGTTCCAGCATATCGTGCATATAATTAACAAAACATTCGCTGTGTATCTGACCATCATTCAGTATCTCTTTTGGGTCCTTTAAGATAGATTGATTAATAGTGGAAAGATATAGCTAGTATTTCATAACTCAGCGTTTTTCTACCGCCGTAATGACCTTAGTCAGCAGCAAAGTAATTGGAATAATAAAGAATCCTTACGAACAACGAACAACAAGAATTGCACTCCCTCAGTTTCATTTACTTGTCATAACCTTGGACGATTTTCAGTCCGCTTATTTCGTGCCTTTGAGGCTTCTAAATTCCGCTTTCACATATTTCCAAAGTGCTTCCCTATTTCAACTTTCCGTGTGGTTGGAAGCCGATCACTATAGAAGTTTGTTTTCCTGAAACCTTGAAAGAGGAAGATTGATACTCTTTTTGGAATTAGGTGCTCACGACCCTCTTCTCCGTAAGTCACATGATCTTGTAGAACATACTGATTTTTCGGGCTCTCTAATATTCTACTAATTAAATTTTCATGCGATCGGCAAGCATAATTCACGATATACTGAGCATCGGTTGATTAGAGCTTTTCAAATAGTTGAACAAACCTAGTCAGTTAGCATTCTCTTTTGGGGTACTGGTGGGAACGCATATACCAGAGCGGCGTACGTTGAACCAGTGAAAGGTATGTGTTGTATCCTGCGGTGGCCGTCTATGGCTTACGCCTGCGCTGAGCCTGCCAGACTACGCGATAGGGAGAAGATAGAGAACTCGCGACATGGCTGTATTGTCAGGACAAAACATACAGAGCGTCTGCGTAATATATTAGGATGACTAATTGGCCAAATATGGTCGTTCACTTGTTCGTTCTGTACAGCCAATGGTGGTGTTCCGGTCGTGAACAATCTCAGATCCACTCCACTGATCGTATGTTGCTAAGTCGTGTTTGGTGGGAGCCGCCGATCCACCTACTTTCCGGACGAGTCGTACCGATGGTGACCTTGAGGATGCGTCACTCTCTGCACATGTGCTTTTTCTTCTGTCTGGGCTAGCCCTGACAGTATGTCATTTCTGGTGTCGGTACATCGACCATCAGCGGTCGAGTATGATGAACGCGCACAAATAAACAGTCTTTAGTTAATTCGGAATCAAACCGTCCAGGTGAACTGTCTCAATCACTGACACGAGGGGTTTACAGGGCAGTTCTATTGCTGTTCGCTTACGTAAACAAATAAAATCCATCAAGAATCAACACTGACGGACAAAAATTCACGTAAAACCCTTTCATTGATTATGGAAAGCCTCTGTCTGGAATACCTCTGTGTTCAAAAGCTAGAATGTAGCTGGCAAGAGCGGCGAAAAAGCTGATAGCCTGTCTCGGGAGGCGTGTCCGCTCTGATGTAAGACTGCTGAGGAACTCCAAACGTTGCCAAACGGTACCATAGCAAGCCAAAGTTAACCGTGTGTAGTGAAAGCACTCGTAAAGTTTTACATAATTTTGGAATGAATCAAAACTCCCGTTTGCATGGACAGATTTAGATAAAAAGCAATTCTTGAGGAAAGGTTTCCGAGGTTTCGCAGTTCATCGAAAACCCACCGGATCTTTTCAATGATCAATAACGGGATTTTCCGAGATGAAGTTTAGAAATTCAAACAAAAGCACTGGTGACATTTATATATTCATTCTATCCATAATTGAAGAGAACCTTCTCACGGATACGTAGGGTTTGTTTGATAAACAATCAAGAAAACGATCCTTGTGCTTTGCGTGAGCTAATGGGTTGGAGGTTCCGTTCAAAAATTCCAACGCATTGGAACCTGATGGTGGTCAACTGACATTCTGTACGATACTCAGTGGTGCTTGGTACTTGCATATTTCCGCATCATGACAGCATCAGCTTCTCTGTTTTTTAACAATGGATTCGAGCACCCTTTATCCATGATTTTTAAGCTAGGTTACCTACTAGAACGTTTGTTTGATCCTCACCTACATATTGCAAAGCCTTTGGAGACAAAGGGCTGGTCGTCGGTTTGTTCGATGAGCTGGGCAATTCGATTGCAAACGTTTCATCACCAATCGGTGTGACATCATCAGTACTTTGTTAACGGGCCTAGTGATTGGTAGCGATGGCCTGGTGGTTGTGTGTGCGATCGTCTGTGTGTTGTGGTTTGATACCACCACCAACCTAGGCAAAAGTGCGCTCCCTAACAAAGGCACTGATGATGGTGGTGAAAAGTTCGCAATCAAATTGCTCAACGCAGCAGCTACCAGAGTGTAGTAGCTGCTCCGGTGTGTCAGAGTTTGCGCATGCGTATGTCCGTTCGTCGTTCCACCATCGATCTGGCGTGTGACTTGAGTGGCTGATTGGGTGCGTGTCCGATTGATTTGCTCGCGTGAGCGTTGTGGGTTGACGCCGCTGGCTATTCGCACAATGGGATTGATTTCTCGAAATCTACGGCATTTTCAGACTTGCCACTTCATAGTGTAGAATGTCTATGTATAAGGTACATGCTCCTGTATTATTGAAAATCCTTTACTATGGCGATTTGTTTAAGTGAACTAAATCTCCAGGTGAAT